CAGCGGTTTCCCGACTCTATTATAAAGGGCCTTGGCCTTCTGCCAAGCTGCCCAGGGCCCCTCAGGAAGGGAGCCTGAGGCTGGGGGACAGTGAGGCGCCCCTTTGCTGGCTCTTGTCTGAGAGAGGCCATTCTGCTTCACATGGCTTTGTGTAACAGCTTCTGGATGAGATTTCTCTTGGATCCAGGATTTTGCTACCAAAGTAAAAAAGCAGAAACCACAGTTTTCTCTGTGGTCTCCCGGCCCCTTCATTCAGTTCTCTCTGTGGTCCCTGGGCCCCTTCATTCAGGCTGGCTGGGAAGTGCAGCTGGGAGGAACTGCTGGGTAAGGGTGGCTGCATGTCCTGATTGCTGTCTTTCTCACTACTTTGGGACTGGCCAGGCCAGGGCCGGGCACCAGGGAGTACCAATGGACATACGGCCTGGTTAGCCATGCCTCTGCTTCCACTGTGGGAACGGATAACCATGGAACTCCCGGGAGGAGGGATGGGAGATGGGGGAGCGTGCCCTCGCTGGGGCACCTAGGGGCTACAGACGCCTCCCAGTCTCCTAGGGTTTGGTTTCTGGGCTCTGCCAGCCCACACTTTCACAAGACTCAGCAGGAGGGCTTGCTGAAACTGTGTCTGGGGCTCCACCCAGGTCCAGGGAGCCTGAGAATCTGCATCTCTGCCCACTTCCAGATATACCATTTGATGTACCAGCCCTGGTTGCTCTCTGCTATTCTGGAGACATCCAGAAAAAGACCCAGGGCCCGGGCTGAGTCCCCAGCGTAAGAGCAATGCCATTTATTCTGCAAGTCACCCTAGAGATACAGTACTAGGGCTTCTCTGGAAATAGGGCTTAAAGTCACCCATCCCCAGAGTTCCTGCCACAGCTCACCTACTGTGTGTATGTGGTTTCCATTCTAAATGATGGGTTAGCTAATGAGGAGACACCTGCAGTGCATCAGGCATTGAAAACCACAGAATCCAAACAGAGCAAGTACAATATCTTTACACTAAAACACAAGTGGTTTGTTTTATAGAAAATGAAGCAAATTCCACATAAGAAAGTGACAATGAAACACAGCCTTCTTGAGAGAGGTCAGCTCACCAGCAAAGGCTATAGCTCAGAGAGCGTGGGAGGTCAGGCTCGCAGGTGGGCGGGCATGGGAGGAAGCCATGTTGGCAGGGACCTGGGACCTGGACAGGGACTCCCAGGATTGGGATGCAGGCTGGGGAAGAGCCAGGCAGTACCCGGAGCAGCAGGGAGGCCTCTATCAGGGGCATGCAGCCTGCAAGGAGCCTGGATTCCCTTCCCCCACCCTCTAGCAGAAGCTCTGGGGACCTTACTTGGGGCCCAGTGGTCCAACAGAACAAATACTATACATGTGCAATCTGTTCAAGTTACTGCCTGTGATAAGCACTGGCCTGTCTGGGTATAACGGACCCAGAAAGATCTAGCAATATAAGCTGAAAACAGCAAATGAAGGAACAGCGCTCTTAACACTCAGATGTGTATGTATTCATGACGAAAGGATTTTCATCTGGGTTCTCCATTTTTTTCTTAATTGTATATTATTTGAGTCACAGTGAAGAATGTTTCTAACAGGATTTCCAGCTGAAGGCACAACTCAACGGTAGAACTTTCATTTTCTCAGAACCACGAGGACACTGAAATAGGAAGTTAAACACAAAGCCACACAGAAGGAGGAGGACAGAAGATAAAACCACCCGGTGGAGTGTGAAATGGCATGGCGTCTGCTGTCATGTGGCAGGGCAGGGCAGGGCAGGGTCAGGCCTTTTCCTAGGCTCTGCCACGGCTGAACGACACTTCCTTTCCCCAATCAGAAGCAGGTTGAAAAGACAAAGAAAAGCTAGCCCAGCCCGCCTCCAGCTTTGTGCCTAACTCTCCCAGCAGTGCAGGCAATGCTGCAGTGGAGACACAGTGCCCCACTGTGGCCACAACAGGGAAGGGCTGGGTCTGGTGTATGGAAATGGCTGCTTCAGGAGGCCCCAAAACCAGGCTAAATGGAAGCCAGGGAGCCAGGCTACCTGTGAATAATGCGATATTCCCTACCAAAGGGTGAGGCAGGCAGCCTAATAAAAGATAGGGCCCTGGGGGCTGGGAAGGTGGCTCAGTGGTAGAGCACTTGCCTTGCATGCATGAGGCCCTGGGTTCGATTCCTCAGCACCACATAAGCAAAAAGAAAAAAGCCGGAAGTGGCACTGTGGCTCAAGTGGTAGAGCGCTAGCCTTGAGTTGAAGAGCTGAGGGACAGCACCCAGGCCCAGAGTTCAGGCCCCACGATAGGATCCCCCCCCCCCAAAAAAAAAAAAGACAGGGCCCATCCGGGTGTCCATGAGAGACCCAGGGGTAAACTTGTCCTCAAGACTAGGCTCTGGCAGATACCAGACTTGGCCAAGTCCCTGTTCCACTGTGTCCTTGATTTCCCCACCAGTGAAAAGACAACCTTTGGGTCCCGACTACCTTCCCCATTACTGAAAGATGGAACAGGAAATGACCTCAAGTTCTGGCTCTGTGGACACTGGTGGCTCTTGCCTATAATCCTAATGACACAGGAGGCTGAGATCTGAGGGTCGAGGTTCAAAGCTAGCCTGGGCAGGAAAGTCTGTGAGATTCTTGTCTCCAATTAACCACCAAAAATCTGGAAGTGGAGCTGTGGCTCAAGTGGTAGAATGTTAGCCTTGAGCTAACAAGTTCAGGGACAGCGCCGAGGCTCTGAATTCAAGCTCTAGTACTTGCACGTGCATGCCCACGCACACATACACGTTCTATCTCCACCTGTGTAGGCTAAGAGAAGACAAGCTCCGTTTCCACCCTAGATTCATAATGGGCCCCAAAAGAATTCAGGGCTTTTCATAAAATGAAATGTGTAGGAAATATCAGGTTTCTCATGTGTTCTCAAAACTTGTTCCAGTTTTATATGACATATGTACTCAGGGTCACAACATACAGTATTATGGTGGGCGTGTATCAAAATGATTCCAGAAGTTCTGTCTGAAAGGTAAAATGAGCTAAGGTGAGCTCATGCTAATTAGCTCAATCCCTGGCATTTAAAAAGCTTTGAAGAAACATTCCTGACCCAGCAGGTAATGCCAATGACTGTCACACTAGTCCTTAAGGAAAACCAGCACGAGAGGATGTTGGGGGGGGGGGGTCCAGGATTCAGGGTCCACAGGGCAGAGCTGAGGGAAATGGTCCCATGTCTGCCCATGCACCTCCCCCCCAACTCTGCTACCATACGAGTGGCAAAGTCAAGGCTGCATTTGCCAACCCCAAAGAGCACTTTCCTACCCAAAAAAGGAGCCTCTCTTCTAAGTGTCCTTCAGTCAAATGCTGGCATGAATCCCTGGAGTTTGTTTTAAACTGGCACTCTACATGGTTACTTAGACCAAGAGCAGGAGTTCAATCAACATCTTCTCCTAACCAAAATAAAGTCCAAGGCTTGCACAGGATGAGAAGGAATGGCTTTTACAGGCTTCTCCCACCATCCTCATTGCTGTCCCTTGGGGACAGGGCCTGGCTGGAGAGACACTGTAAGGGGATCGATGCCTCCCTCCACCCCCCGCCCTGAGCCCTGGCACCTTTCCCCAATGGCATCGTCATCCCTCTCTGCTGGTCTCACAACTATGCAGCCCCCAGCTCACAGCCTATGCTTGAGCAGGAAGGGCGATATAGCACAGGCTGTGCTGTTAGGATCTCATCCTGCGCGTCATTTGGGTCTAACCTTCCTCTGTCTGATTCCTTTCGGAAGCAGGTCCCACAAGGCAGGCCACCCTCATCTGTGTGCAGACCGAGAGCATGCCACAGCAGGGAGAAGGGCACATGGCTCCACGGTCAGGATTCTGTAGAAAGAATGGGCCTTGCTGATCGCTAACATTTGTACAGCTTGGTTTACCTTCCAGAGAGCCTAAAAGGTAGGCACTATCAAGAGCTTGAAAGAAAGAAGCAATGGCTGGAGCCCCGTGGCTGGCAAATGGCAGAGACGGGGTAGAGATCAGCATCGCAAACTTGGGCACCACCCAGTGCAGCTGTCTGACCTCAGACAGGGCACATGGCCTCTGCAGACTTGAGCTTCTAAATCTGCAAAATGGGATAAAAGCCGCTTTCCAAGAGATCTGGTATGTAAAGCTAAAGCCAAGTACAACATCCGACACACCACAGGTGCCCAGAAAACAGCTCCAGCTAGGGTGGGCCGAGACAAAAAAACCGTGCAGAACAAGAAGTCAGCAGGGGCAGGGGATAGCCTGTGAGCAGGGAGGGACAGGGGGCCTTTGAACATGGCCCAGGAGTGGCTGAGTGATCTGAATCCCACTGGGGAAGCCACTGGCTTCTGGATGGAACACCCAGCCAGACTTCTCAGGCTGTCCACCACAGAGCTCCGGGAGAGCAGCTCCCTAGCTCTCTAGTCCTTTCATGTAGCCCGTGCTTCCTGCCCTGAGCTACCATGGGGTGGACCAGGCAGAAGAGGCTCAGGAGCTCAATGATTGGCTGAAGGCACTCAGAGAGCCAGGAAAAGAACAGGGGCATGTGGCTGGCCTGCTTGTCTTTACCCAGGGTGTGTGCATGCACACATCGTATTTACCTTCTGTGTCATGTGGGGTCATAATCCCTGCCACCTACATGATTCATCAGGGCCTCCACTGCCCTGGGGGGAGGAGGGGCGTGGAGCCAAGGACACTGCTTCTGCAGCAGTCACAGCACCAGGCACTCCTCTACAAGAAGGCCGGAGACCCCAGTGCCAGGCAGTTTGGTACAGCAGCCTGGGCTATGGAGTTATCATAGGGCCAACTCCACCAGGCCCCAGTGCAGTCTGGGACAGGGGACACAGTGACCAGGGAGGGACAGAGGCTACTTGAATCTGGCCCCCGAGACATAGGTGATGTAGGTCAAGCAGAGCTGCATACTGGCTAAGGCCATGGGGGACCTAGGAAGGACAGGGGCTGTTTCCAGAAAGCCTGGAACCTGCAGGCGGGAGCTGTGTGGACAAGAGACCTACCGCATAATGCCCAAAGGGTCCAATGCTTCCTCCTCCTCCTCTTCTTCCTCTTGCTTTTCCTCCAGAGACTTGTGGCTCTCCTTGCCCTTCCGGCCTAGTACGGAAGGCCCCTCGGCTGCTACTTGGTCCTGCTGCCCAAAGAAGTCAAAAGCCTCCTCATCGTCCTGTGCATGGCTGTCTGTGCCACGCAGGATGGAGGCGTCTCTGGAGACACCCCCCGCCCCTGGGGACCTGGTACCTGCATGGGAAGACAGAGAAGGAAGTTACCGAAAAACTGCACTGCAATGTCCTGGGCCTGGATCTGAGGCTGAGGACTTCCCGTGGCTTCCTGGGACCAAACTTGGCTCAGGGAAGATGACGAGGAACCATTTGGGGGCACCCAAGTGTGTGTGTGGTAGCTTCCCAGAGGGCGGGGGGCACCAGGGGAGCCTGAGGCATGGTCACAAGAGGTATGATGCCAAGGTGGGGGGTTCTTGAACCCCAGCGGCCCAGAGCCCAGTGGACCTCAATGAATGGTGAGACAGGCCCAGCCACCACAGAATGAGTGACACAGGAACGCCACCTTCAGATGGCGTTACAGTGGCGGGGCACAGCCGGGACCTCCCCTGACCCAACCACAGACTGAGACCCGCTCCCAGAGGCTGAGAACAGTGAGTGCAGAATAAGCTCGTGGAAGATTCCAGAACAAAGTGTGATCACCCTCTGGCAAGCTGGCTTAGATCAGGGTTTTCTCCAAGGGTGTTCCACAGACAAGTGTCCACAGGAGGAAGAGAGAACAAACATTCAGGAACTCACATCAGCTAGACATCTGAGCACAGTACTTGGGAATCATCTGTGACAGGCTGGGAACCAAAGCTCGCCGCCCCCCCACTCTCCCCTCCCGACCATGGACAGTTTGAGAAGCGTGGGTTTGGACTACTTGTTCATCTCTATGCAAAGTAGTGACTGCAGAATCTATCTTTCCAAGCACTATTCAAAAATACCACCCTGTAGGTAATACACTTAAAAAAAAAAGTGTTCCTCACTTTGATACAGGATGTACTGCGCTGTAATAATTACACTGCATAATGTTATGATGTTCTTCTACTATTCAAAGGTTGGAAAATAGTGCTGTGTAATAAGCACCCTGCATTTAAATATCACAAGACCTCCATGATTTCCTTTTGCAGATGAGGAAACAGGCTTCGAGGGGCTCACGGAGTTGGATCCTCCTGTCCACTCTCCGCAGGAGTGAGGACATCCTGAGCCTTCCTTCTAGCCATGGACGTCCTTTACACCACGTCCACAGCCCTGGCAGGGCAGCGTGGGAGGAGCAAGCAGGGCTGTGTGCAGGAGACAGCACAGGATATGGAACGCACGCAGGAAACCTGGGCTCTACACGTGTGTCCGACCCGCCCCCTTCTGTGCATCTTCTGGGTCTGCTTCCATTCCCCAGCCTCGCTTTTTAAAAAACGGATTTTCAGCCAAGTGCTGGTCACTTGTGTCTATAATCCTAGTTACTCAGGAGGCTGAGATCTGAGGATCACAGTTTGAAGTCAGCCTGGACAGAAAAGTCTGTGAGACTCTTATCTCCAAATAACTGCCAAAAAGCTGAAATGGGGATGTGGTGGCTGAGTGGCAGAACAGAAAAAGCCAAGTGAGTGCTTGAGACCTGAATTCAAATCCCAGTAATGGTACACATGACAAGTTGATTTGCTGTCAACTTTCTTTTGAAAGATAGGGCTGGGTATATGGCTTAGTGGTAGAGTGCTTGTCTAGCATGCATGAAGCCCTGGGTTCCATTCCTCAGTACCATATACACAGATAGTCTCTGTCCTGTGGATCAGGAGGTGGGGTGGAGATCACAGAAATCAGAGACAGGTTTAAGGTAAACCACCGGTCTAAAGGGGAAAAAGTCAGTAGACTGAGAATCCAGTACCACCAATGGGGCTGCCTGTGGGTAAGGTCATGTGGGGAAGATGCTCGGGGGGAGGTTGGGGGGTTGTTTTCTGGGGTGGGTGGGGCAGATGCTGTGAGGAGGTGTGTATGTGTGTGTGTGTGTGTGTAAATGTGCAGGGGTGGGGTTCTGGGGTGGGGGGGGCAGATAGAGGGGGTTTGGGGGGAGCAGATGCTGCCCAGGGTGTGTGTGATGGTGGGGGTTCATTTGCCAGGGCAGGGGTATCCTTGTGTGGCAGGCCCCACTGGAGGTATTTCACCTGTGCAAACTCACTCAACCTCATGTTCTTCAACCCACGAGTTATTTCCCCACCTAACAGATGAGAACACTGGAGGGGGGAGTGGAGGGGGCAGGGCGGGGAGGGCTGAGGTCCCTATTACGTTACGGTGCAGTGGAGCTTAGCTGCATCCACAGCTGTGTGGGAGCGCAAGGGAGAGCGGTGTGCCCCGAGGGCTTCGCAGCCCCTGTGCCTGGCTAGCACACCTGGCTGGCACGCGTGCAGGTGTGCAAGTGGAGGGAGCCATCAGGAGTGGGCTGGCCAGGAAGGGCCTGGCAGGGCCACACTGATAAAGAGTGCTCTGTATGAGCCACCCAGCACTCAGGCGGTCAGCCCCTCCTCCTTCCGCCCCAGACAAAGGCATCAGTCAGGCCCGCTTGGGTCCAGGCTGCTGGGGGTGGGGAGACACGCCACTGTGGACCCATTCCTGAGCTGCCAGGACCTTGAAGTGGGTTGTGGGCCAGGGAGACTTCAGGGATGTGGGAGGGATCCGCAGGTACCTAGGAATTCTAGCAGCTCTGGGCTGCTTGCCAACTGGGCATCCTTGGCGATACAACGTAGAATCTCATTGAACATGGCTCTCCTTTCCCGGATGTCGGCTTCTCCCACAAACAGGACCTTCCTGGGCAGTGGGGGCAGGCTGGCTTCTGGGTAGCGGCTGTTCAGTTTCTGGTAAAACTCTTCGATCTCACTGTACTTCCTGGAGACCTGGAGTGAGGGAAGCATGAGGTTTTCCTGAGTGAGTGGTCAGATGCTCACCTGGAGCCCCTGCTGCCCCCACTGCCTCCCTGCCTCAGGCTCCCGTCCAGCGGGAAAGTCTCAGAGGCCCAAAGGGATGATGCAAGTAAGTAAATAAATAAAGGAGGGATTCCAGATACTAATGACATCTGATCCAGGGGCCAGCAAGGTGACTACGGCCTGTAGGTGACTACGGCCGTTGCCTGCATCCGGGGCTTTCGGTGCATTAGTGGGGCAGTCTCAGCCCCTGGAAAGAGGAGGGATCACCATCTAGTGACACTGAGCCCCCCTTTCTCAGCACAGACCTCCTAACTGCTCTCTTCCCTGTTAAGTAGCTGCAGCTCAGCAAGGATACCACATGTGTGTGGTGCCTGCCACCACCAAAGCTGGTTCTCTGCCCTGATGCAAGCATTTGAAGCTCCTGGGATTGGGTGAAGCTGCTCAGGACTCCGCTGCTGCTGTAAAACAGCCCCAAGCACCCCCTAAGTCCCCAAGGGCAGCTCTGCTTTCTGCAGGGCTGAGGGCTGGCTGTCTCCTCCTCCCCAGCCCCTGCACAACTGCTAGGCAACCAAGGGTTCCTTTCTTCCTTTTTTACTTTCCGTCCTCAGGCTTAAATTCAGGGCGCTGGTGTTGTTACAGAACTCTTCTGCTCAAGGCTAGTGCTCTACCACTTGAGCCACAGCTCCACTTCCAGTTTTTTGAAGATTGATTGATTGGAGATAAGAGTCTCATGTACTTCCCTGCCCAGACTGGCTCCAAACTGTGATCTTCAGATCTCAGCCCCCTGTGTGGCTAGGCTTCTGAGCCACCGGTGCCCAGCCCAAGGGTTCTTTCTTAATTTATCATGCCCTTGCCCATGTGTGTGGTGCCAGGAGACCCCAGGACTATGGGTGAGCAGCTACACTGCAGTGGGCTCTGTATAGGCCCCGAGGTCTCAGAGAAGTCACCTGTCTAGGCTTCCTCCACAGCCCACAGCCCCTCTGTCCCAGACTCAACACTTCCCTGGAGGCTGGGCAGTGTCGGGAGTGAAGGCAAGGACAACTGCACCCCCAGGCCTGGTCTGCACCCTTTGCAACCCCTTCCGCATGCTGCTATGTGGCTACATGGGGGCATTTTCTGTGTACTCAGGTCTCTGGGAGGCCTTGTGGATCTCTGGTGGGATTTGTCTGGACTCCCCCCATCTGGACTCCCCCACCACCCATCACCCAACTTGAGAGTTCTAGCTTTTTCTAGAGTATTTCATGGGCACCTGAGTTGTCCTGAGCAACTGGCTATGCTGTGGGTGCTGAGCGCCCCCTGCTGGCCTGACTACTCCAAGCATGCCCAGCAAGACAAGGCTCCAAGCCTGGCTTCACCCCACATAGGGCTCACATCTAGAGCTGTGTTCCAGCAACAGCCAGGAGAGAAACAGGACTTGAGGTGAGGGGTCACAATTACCTGATGTTTCCCATGTGCTGGGCACTGTGGAGCACTGGGCAGACAGCAATGGTGGCCCTCTACTCTCCACTGTACGCACATGGCTGCTTGTGCCTTGCACACACACACACACACACACACAGTGTCTGCCACCCAGGATACAAGTGCCCCTCCCCTGGCTTTGCCCCAGGGCTAGCAACATGCACACATATATGAAATAACATAAGATGCTCATTAAATCACGAAATTCCAAAGAGATTACAGATGGGCGGGTATGCAACTTTGGACTACATACCAGATCCTAGGGGAACATGTGAACTTTCCTTTCCTCTGTGGGGACTTCATGTATGTGCCCAGACACACCCTCACACACACGCGCACGCACACACGCACGAGCCTACACTCCACCAGGCATGGCCTTACAGGTCAGGATGGCGTGGCACACTCTGCAGGGAAGCTCAGCCCTTTGCACAGGACCCACGGCTGGCCAGGGGCCGCCTCTCCCTCATGCCCCAAGCAGCCATCACCCTCAGGTGCTCTCCTCTTCTGGTCCTGTCCTTAAAGACACAGCTGTCCTGAGTGCCTTCCTGGGTCAAGTTAGATTACCAGGAGCTGCAAATGGCCCCTAAGAACAGAGCCACTGTCTGCACAGCACAGACAAAGAAGCACCAGCTCACATCCTCCCTAGCGGAACAAGCAGAACAGCCCTGCTGGTTGAGAATCTCCTCTTGGTGTTGCTCAGGGTCCCCAAGAGAAAGTTTTGTGCCGTTCATTTCTCATAGATTTTAGTATCTCCCGCACTGCGTTGATTTGCCTTGGCTGCCAGCAACTTCACACCAGATTATCCCCTTAGGTACTGCATGACACTAGTTGACTTTCACTTACCCTAAAACCTTTCCTGGTCAGCAGGTCCAGACCCTTCTTATAAGAGACCAAGTAAGGGAGTGTGTGACCTGACCCTGGAAGCACTCTGCTCCCCTAGCCTGTGGCTGTGCCGCTGCCCAGCTCTTTTCTTTCCCCTCAGCCTCCGATCTTCTCATCCTTGGCCGGCCCCGATGTACAGACATGCTCAGGATTTCCTCCTCAGCCCTTCTCCTACCCTCCACATCCTGAATTTTTAACATCACCTCCAAGCTGGTGTCTCCAGACCCGCATCTTCTGCTGGTTCTGGGGTTGAGTATCCCACGTCCAGGTACAGGGTGACCCTGCATCTTCCACACAGGCCTCCCTTGGACCTGCCCCCCCATGCTGCTCCTGGTTGTCCATATTGTGAATATGGATGTCTTCCCCCTGCCTTCCTTCCCAACCGATGCCAGCTGGCAGCTCCAAGCCCTTGCCGGGGGGCTCTGTGTGCTGGCTCAGAAGCAGGCTGCCTGCCCCGGCCTATCTCTGCCACTCCAGCTCCAGGTCTCCCTGGCACTGCCCTGCTTAAACTTCCTGCTTGGCTGTAAGTGCACCTGGATGCTGCCTGCATCCATCCTCATCTCCTCCTGCTTCCTCCTAGCACCAGCCTCCACTGCTCAGAGGCCTCCCCTCATTCACCCCGCACCCGTTCTGAGCCGTGCCTTTGCTTAGGCTATGCTCTTGGCTTAGGACTCCCCCCCCCCCCCCCCGCCCCATTATTGCTTAGTGTGACTGGTTCTCTAAAATACAGCTTTGTCTTCAGTGTAAGGTCGGCCCCAGAAGGCAGACCGCTCCCTCCTCTTGGCTAAGTATCCTCCCAGTACCTGTGTCACTAGATAACTGGAACACCTGGGCAGTCACCTCCCAGCCTCTGAGGTCACATCCTGGGCTGCCCAGGGTCACATCTCCCACCTGACCTGGGAAGGGTGGCAGGCCCTGAGGTCACATCTGCACCTGGTGTGGCCACACCTACCCTCACCTAGCCACACCTTATTCCCCGCCCCTTCCCTACTTAAATCCAGGCCCCAGCTCAGCCTCCCCACCCCTTTGTCTGTTGTGCGGCCTGAACTCTGGGCCTGGGCGCTGTCCCTCAGCTCTTCAGCTCAAGGCTAACACTCTGCCGCTTGAGTCACAGCGCCACTGCCGGCTTTTTCTGCTTATGTGGTGCCGAGGAATCAAACCCAGGGCCTCATGCCTGCAAGGCAAGCACTCTACCATTGAGCCACCTTCCCAGCCCAGCCCCTCCCCTTTCTGCCTTTGTGGTCTCCACTGTGCACGGCCTAGGCAAGCAGTTTGGTAAAACAAACTTCTCTTCCTGCCTGAATACTGCATGCTGTTCTCTTTATCAGCTACCTAATTAAACCTATCTAATTACCTAACACTCAGCTCTTTCAAAAAGGTTCTAGAACCCCTTCCTCTGGGATGGGTAAGGTGCTCATTCTCTACAGGCTCATGGTCCACCCTCGCTTCCCTTTCCATCTCTATCTGCCACTTTTCAGGCCTGTGTCCGGTGAACTGTACGTACCTGACTCACTTCTGGGTGCTCTCAGGGGACACTCAGGAACTCAGGAGCCAGGGACCGGGGAAGTGCCGCACCCCCGACGCCACCCACATCCCATCGGGCAGGTGTGTCTGCCCACCTGGTTCCAGAGGACCCCAGCCAGGGTGCCCCACTCACCAAGAACTGGACGACGTCCTCGGGCCTGTGCTTGGCGGACTTGAAGGCAGCCAGCCGCGTCACCACCAGGATCTGGTACTCCACGTGGCCGGACAGCATCTTGCCCCGCACCTCCTGGTGCTGGGGCACCGACAGATCCAGGCCTGTGTGGACATTCTGAACTTGCCTGCCAGGGGAAAGGAGGCAAGGCAAGTCAGGTTCAGCATGGCAGGCCTCGCAGGCAAAAGGCATGCAGGGTCTCGGGGTGGCCTGGTGAGCCTTGGTGCTAGAACCTTCTTCCGGCCATTCCCAGTGTCTGTGCTCCAGAGCATCTGCCCGGCCACATGTGATCCCTCACGAAGCCTGGATCCCAGGGCCAGGCCAAGGTCTGTTCCAGCAGGGCACGGAGGCAGATGGGCCTTGCTAGAAGTCATGAACAGCTAAGCATTCTACATAAGCTGGTGGAGGGAGCTGTGCCCAGTCTGTGGGGTGGCACCTGGGCTCCATACAGACTGAGGGAGAGGGCCCAGACCTGTGCAGATAAAGCAGGAATGAAACTCTCTGGGGAGCCCAGAGAAAAATGTGCATGCCCTCAGCCAGCCAGAGGGCAGGGGACTGGCCACAGAGCCTGCCCAGCTGGGGAATTAGAATCACATCAGAGGTGGCAGCATCCCAGTGGGCTTCCTCCTCCAGAGAGCAGACACGATGGAATGTTCTCTTGGAAGTGACAAAGATCAGGTGCGTTCCTCGCTGCATCTAAGGTGAGCTGCAGACAAACGCCCGCTGTGCCAAGGCCCCCGCCAGGATATGCCAAGCTCCTGCTGAAGACAAGGTCTGCTGAGCAGCGGGCAGGCCCCTCAACTCGGGCTGAGGCTTTAGGCTGGGGGAGCGTCTGGAGCGTGACCATGCCTGGCCTGGCCTTTCTCTCGCTGGAGTTCCATCCACCCCAATCCTCAGTGCCTGACCCCCGGGGCTCCTACTCCATGGATTCCAGGCACCTTCACAACGGCCTGCCTGCCCTGTCACCAACGTGGTGCTAGTCTGGAGAGGCCTGTCCGGATGCACCGAGCATGCACCTCCTGTGCAGGCAAGGACATCGCGACAGTCTCATGCCCACAGAGAACGATCCCAGGGGCACAGTCCCCCAGGAACGCCCAGCTGACCTGGCCCCAGGCTGGGAGGTATGACAGTTGCCAGGATAGATGTTTGTCAAACACCAGTGAAGGTGCCGGCTGGTGGCTCAGGCCTGTAATCCTAGCTACTCAGGAGGCAGAAATCTGAGGATCATGGTTCAAAGTCAGTCAGGTAGGAATGTCTGTGAGACTCTTAGCTCTAATACACTACTAAAAACAAACCACAAAGTGGAGCTGTGGCTCAAGTGGTAGAGTGCTAGCTTTGAGCAAAAGCAGCACAGGGACAACACCCAGGCTTCCAAAAAAAAAGGAAAAACCAGCGGTGAACCAGTGCCAGGACACACCTCATGGCCCCGGCATCATGAGCAGTGCTGCATCACGGGACCTAAGGGAGCCCGAGACTGGAGGATGGGGGGGGGGGGGGGGGGAAGCATGTGGACAGCTCCCAAAGGCACTCCATTGCTCAGAAAGTCAGGGAAGGAGGCCCCAAGGGAGTGGCTAGTCCAAGGTGTCAACCCCTGTCCAAGAGTCAACCCCAGGCTAAGGCAGAGCCTGGGGGGGAGGGGGAGGAGGGAGGAGCCGGTCCTCCAGTGACAAGGAAGCACAATGGTAGGAAGCACAATGGTGGGAGTGAGAAGAAAGCAGGGTAGAGTGGGGAGGATGGGAGGAGGTTGTGTTTGGTGGAAAGGAGGCCAAACAGGTCTGGCCCAGCATCAGGAGCTGCCTCTGGGATCCCACCCCCTTTCCCAGAGTCCCACCCCACAGCTCAATCACTGCCTTGGGCCTCAGCCCCCAACCTCTCTTCTGGGGCTGAACTAGCCTGGAAACATCCCTGCCTCTGTCACCTCTGTGCCCAGGCATCTCAGCCTCAAACATGCCACCTGGTGCCCCCTGAAGCCCTTCACTTGAGCCGCAGCAGGCTGGGCGGCACATGATTAGGCTTCTCAAAGTGAGGTCCCTGGACCCACATCCATTATCACCTGAGAACTCGTGAGGGAGGCGCACGCAGGCCTGAGCTGCAAACCCAGGGTGTCTGGCCATCTTCCTTCCAACAAGCGTGAACACACGACTGATGAATCTGAGCAGAAACTACTGGCTCTCCACCGCCCTAGCGCTTAGGACCAGAGAGGAAACTGTTGAGAGCACAAGTCCATCCCACCTCAGTGGCAACTGCTCACCTCTGCCTTTGAAGCACCGAAGGGAAGCAGACCAACCACAGAAGCCACAGATCAACCACAGAAGCCACTGCACCCAGACAGGGGCCTTCACAACACGGCGAGACCTGGGATCCCAGCGAAGCTAAACCCAATGGAGGGCTCTTGCTCTGATCTCATTCATCTATGTCCCATCGTCATCCTGTCTCCGGGTGATCTTGCCCAAGCTCTAGGCCTTGAATGCTTTGAGCCAGTGGCATCCCAGAAGCCCAGATCCTCCCTTCTTCGCATCCCCTTTTCTGCCTGTCAACCACTCCTCACAGTTACCCTGTCTACGTGAATGCAGATTCCCCGGTCCACAACTATGCTTCTTGCCCAGTCTCTCGTCCTGCTTAGCAGAAGCCCACGTCAGCACCCTCACCATCAGCAAACCCCAATGCTCCACCTCCGGAACATACCCAGAGCCCAGCTTTCTTGCCCCCTCTGCCCCATCACTCTGGGCCAAGCCTGGCTGGACGGGGTCCTGGTGGATTCCTGTGGGCGTCCACACAAAGGTCTGCAGCCACAGGTCTCTCTGCGCCCACTTGCATGGCCCTCTGCCCCAGATTCCCATGGCCTGAGTGTCCCCCATCTCCACCCCTTTATCTTGTCATCGAACACTTCCCAGGTCCCTCCACTCCAGCCATACCAGCCTCGGACATTGGCCCCTGCTGTCTTCTCTGCCAAGCATCTACTTTCAGGATGTCTTTTTCATGGCTTTCTCCCTTGGGAGCTGATCAGGGACCAGAACACACACACACACACACACACACACACACACACACACACGCCAGTCTATCAGTCAGAGGCCAAGAGCGGAGGTCCTGTACATGGAGCGGAGGTCCTGTACATGGAGACTCCCTGAGGGGAGACCTTGGCACCAAGTCACAAAGTCTGGTGGGGCTGGGAGAGAACCCAGGGGCGCATGTGCTCAGACTTGCAGATATGAAACCTCCATTTGCAGAAAAGGAAACTGAGGCTCAGAGAGAGGAGGAGACAGAGAAGGTGCTGTGTGTGTGTGTGAGGGGGGCTGCCCAGGTGGACAGGTACTGCCTGCGGCCCGCCCGGCATCATGCCAAGGAGACCGAACAGAGCAGGCAGGTTCCAACCTTGGGGTGGATGTAAAGAACTCCAGTTTTCTAGACGTAAGTCTCAGCAAGTTCCTTTTGCATCTGGAAGCCTAGCGTTGGTGTTAGGCAACGTGGACTGATCGCATGATCAACTGTCATCTTAGTCCAAGACTCTGTGTGTGGGGGGGGGGGGGGGACAGAGACAGAGCACGCTGCTCTACTCTGTAAAGGGGGAGGAGGAGGAGGGAGAAGGAGTAAAAACTCCGACAAAACCACCTCCCTCCGCGTTTGACAGGCTCCATCTTGGCTGCCAGGCCCGGCCCCGCCGGCCACACACTCCTTCCTCCTCCTGGCCCCAGGGCCTTGGCTGTCCGTGTCACCTCGGAGCACCCCCGGCCCCCACCCCGTCCCCACGGACGCCCACGGTCCTGCACTGCGTTCCCATGGCAACCACGCCCCCCCCCCCCCCCGCACACGCCCCAGCGCGCCGGGAACCCGAGCCAGGCCCCCTCTCCCCGCCAGGCCCCGGGTACCCCTGGGCCGGGGGTGGGGGGGGAGAGGCCCAGTCGATGAGCCGCCGGGGACGCGGGGGACGCGGGGGGCCCCGAGGTCCGGCTCACCTGGAGGTGACAAGCACCGCTGGGGACTGCATGTCGGAGGCGGCGGGCGCGCGGGTCACGCGGCCCGGAGGGCGTCGCCGGCGTCGCCGCGTCCCCGCCCCGCCGCGTCCCCGCCCCGCCGCGCTCCCCGCCGCCCCGGCGCGCCCCCTGGCGGCCGCGGCCGGGAACGGCGGCGCGCGGAGGCCCGGGCCGCGCCTCCCTCGCCGGCCCCTCCCGGCCCCGCAGGTGCCCCGCGCCCAGCAGGCGCGCTCCCCGCCGGCCGCGCCTCGGGCCCGGGCTTGCCGCTCCGCGCTGCCGCCTGCACCCAGGCAGGACCCGGCCAGGGAGGCCGGCGGGAGGCCGCAGACGGGCTCATCGGAGCCTCGTCCACGGGGACTGCGGCACAGCCAGACACTTCCGTGGCGTCAGCTGCCCAGGACCGGGGAGGGACAAGCCGACGTCCGCGGGACGGCGCCAGGATCCAGCAGGACGAGGCGCTGCAGAGGCCAGGCCGTCCTGGAATCCAGGCTGAGATGCGCTGGCCACGCGCTTGCCGGGCACCACGGCCATCACCAGCGACTGTAGTCACGAAACCTCAGTCCTGGGGTTTGAACTCAGGGCCCGGCGCCGTCCCCGAGCCTCTGCGCTCAAGGCCAGCGCTCTACCGCTTGCAGCTCTTTCTCATGGTTTATTGGAGATAAAAGTGTCACAGATTTTTCTGCCCCGACTGGCTTCGAACCATGATCCTCCTATCTCAGCCTCCTGAATAGCTAGGCTTACAGGTGTGAGCCACCAGTGCCCGGCCAGGTGTCTCCCTTTTGAACAATGCTCTGGTCAGATGCCTTGTTGGCCCTGCCTCTGATCTGTCAGTAGGCCAGAGGAGCGATCATGCTTTGCCTAGAACTGGAGAGTGGGGTGGGGTCAGATCAGGCTTTGGAAAGAAGCAAGGTTTTGATGAACAAGACCGGGGAAACCAGAGCAGTCAGTGACGAGTGCAAAGCCCCAGAGACAAGCAAGAACATAACAGTCCTAGGGAGAGGGGCAGAGTGTGGATGGAGTGCCGGGGCTCCAAGATGAGGGCTTACCGGGCCCCGTGGCCAATGAGAGCCAGCAGGAGAGCTGTGGACATAGGAGTGGCCTGGCCAGTGGAATTGTGGCTGACCAGGTGAAGCAGAGATACAACAGGAATGAGAGGCCGAGGAGAGGGACAATGAAATGAACACAGGCCACTGGGGTTAGATGCCACCATCATTTGGCTCCTGTGAGTGGCCAGGCCGGGGCCTTCTCTGTGGGGACCCTGGGAGGAGGGGCACAGTTTTGGTAGGAGGAGGACAAGGGGGGTTTGAGATCCTGGAATGTGAACGACATTGGCTCCGTGGCCAGATCCTCTCAGGTGGGCCTCGTGGGTGGACAGGAGGCTGTGGAAACGGGGGGTGAGGGCAAGTCCCTCTGGCAGCCGGTGGAGAGAAGCTGGGAGGGCCTAGGGAGACAGAGATGGAGACGACCAAGGGGGCTCCCTGGCAGCGCTGGCCCTGGTAGCACGCTGGCCTCACCCCCGTCTGGGGTTGCCAAGTATGCACCCCAGAGGCCTCGCACACCTGGTGCCTGTCAAGAGGACAACCGGCTTCCCGTGAAAGTGACCCCCATCCCGATAGCAATCCCATTTTCTGCCTCTGTGGGTCCCACGTGCCCCTGTGTGGCTCCGGTGCATAATTGTACACAATGCATGGAATGTGGGATCTAAATCTGATATTTTCTGCTTCCTGCCTGACTCAGGGAGCCCCTTCCATGGCTGAAGCCTCGGGTAACAGAAACCACATTGCAAAAGACCTTTCTTCTTCCTTCCCCATGGACCTGGCTTCGCTTGGCCAGTGGGGGGCGCTAGCCGCTGGGGCCAGCGGTCAGATAAGAGACATCCAGGGGTCAGCTGAGGTCCAGTGGCCTCCCTCCCACCACCCCCAGCACTGACATTTCCCTGGTGTCTAGTGGGGTGATTCCTCTAGGGACCTGCCGGTTTGCCTCTGCTCTTTCATGAGATGTTTCAGAAATCCAGGGTTCCAAGTGCTTCCCTGGGGAGCTGGGTGGCCACCTTGCTTGTCTCGGCCAACAGCTGTGGGCACAGCTCTGGGTGTGTTACAGGCCAGGCTGGGGCCTGTGGCAGAAGATGCAAGGTTGCTCAGCGGAGCTCACTCAGGCTCAGGACAGCAGGAGAGTTCAGCAGCAGACCCACGGATGACACGCACACCCTGGAGGTAAAAGGCACACCAAATACAGATGGCTGTGGAGGGGGTACAAGGAGTTCATCCAGGTGGCAATGGGGCCAGACCCATTTTGAGTGTTGGTTTTCTCATTGGAGAAATGAGTGTCACAGAAGCCTGTGGGCTCAGATCAAATGTGACTGGAACGACATGAAATATGTGGCAGACACAATCAGCTACTCAAGAGCCATGTATAGGCCTGGCCTGGTAGCACATGCCTGTAATCCTAGCTACTTGGGAGGTACAGGGAGGAGGATTAAGGTTCAAGCCCAGTTTGGGAAAAGCTCACTAAAAGCAACCTGAAAAACAGAGAGCGTAGGAGCATGGCTCAAATGATAGAGCAGTTCAACGCCTTGAGTCCAAATACCAGTACTAGATCACATCTGTAACCCCAGTTACTTGAGAGCCATTGAGATTGGGAGTTGAGGCCAACATAGGGAATGCCAGCATTAGACCCTGTCTCAAAAGAACACGTCAGAGATGGTGGCGCATTTCTATAACCCCAGCTGTGTAGGAGGCAGATCAAAGCTGTGTAGGAGGAGGATCAAAGTCCAAGGTGAGCCCTTGACAAAAGGTATGAAACTCCACCGGAAAAATAACGAGAGGAAAAAGGGCTGGGGAATGCCTAGTACACGTGAAGCTTGTGTTCACCAAGAAAAAACACAAAACACAAAACTGTGTCTTACTCAAGCTACGGAGCATTCGTATATTGCCTCCAAATATGTTTATCATGGTGTAATTCTCAGCAATCATTTCATTCACTAGAAGCTGATTTCAGCTTATATCATAAGGGCTATTTTTCCCATAAATATTTAATAAAGTAGCCAGAAATGGCACCTCTATAACCTTAGCACTTGGGAGGCGGAGACGGGATGATCCTGAATTGGAGGATGGCCTGGGCAGCATCATGAGATCCTGTCTCCACGCACAAAACAACACCCATTCACAGGCAATTCTTCTAGGACAACCCGTTCTTTTCCCTTCACTGCACCTGTTAGCGTCCATATACATTCGCAATACTTCTACGCATCATTATTACCGTCTGGACTCTGCCTGTCCTGTCAGTTCCGTTTGTAATGTTTGATGGGGAGAAGTTGCATTTGATAGCTGCTTATGAAAATATCTGAGAGCGTTTAATGTATTCTCTCTCTCTCTCTCTCTCTCTCTCTCTCTCTCTCTCTCTCACACACACACACACACACACACACACACAATGAGTCAAAGCTGAAAGGGTGGAAGATAGAGTAAGATCTACACAGAGGGACAGGTGGGTGGACAGGCTGCCCTTCAGCATGGAGGTATCACGGTATGGCATGGAGAAGCTGCCCCCAACGCACCCTCTCCTCTGCCCACTAGGAACTTGGGGTCGTCTGTTTTGTCTATTTCCATAGCGAACACACACATCTAACTCAGTGCCATCAGGAACCGATTCTACCATGAGGTTCCTGGAACCTGTTCTACCATAGTTTGCCTTTACTATATTAAACGCCATTTGGACTCTTTCTAGTTTTTCCTAAAATACTTCCTTAAACATGTATCTTGTGCAAAGAAATCTCTAAATTAAATTCCTACAAGGGGAAGCGTCAGATGAATCTTCTTCTTTAAAATGCTGATACCGTGGATTTGCTCCTGGAAGATCTCTGGCCAAATCATTCCTTCCTGCCCAGAGGGCACAGCGGGGGCCCTAGGCCCACCTGCTCACCAACTGTGGATTTTACCTTCTCAGTACCTTCGGAGCGGAGAGGTCAGAAAGGGCTCTGTTGTTCTTTCCGTGTGCAATCTGCTGATGTTCCTGGACTTTGACTCTGTTGTCTAAGCCCTTTGCAAACTTCCTTTGCAAACTTTGTGCCTCTGGCCAACAGATAAAGACTGTCCAGCTCTTTATCCAAGCGAGGAATGAAGTCTGGGAGGACCACTCCACTGTGATGTTCAGGGGTAGGTGGGCTGTGTAGGAAACAGGCAGCAGGTGGCCTAGGGCCAAGCCCCCATCCTCTGCAGGGCAACCCCAGTGACTGCCTCCTGCAGACACCTGTGCCAGAAGGCCAGGGCCAGCTACCTAACCAGATGATACCCAAGAAGTCAGCCAAGAAGTCAGCCCCAAGAAGCTCCACTCACAGCTCTAAGGTAGGAACCAGAGCCCCCTCTGGCTCCAGCGGATTGCAAGGTCTCATCTATAGTTGGAATCCCATTTCCTAGTTCCTCTGACCCTGCCCCCCCCCCCACACTTTCCCAGGCCAAGACTGAAGGAGTGACAATCCCAAGTCACTGCACACAGAGCACATTTATTCTATATGTCTTTATCATTTACTTATTAATCATTTATTGTGCAGGACTTTTCTACACCTATAATACTTTGTGAGTCACTGGTGCCTGACTGTTCTGTTTTATAGTTATGTGGTACTGAGGAATCAAACCCAGGGCCTCATGCATGCTAGGTAAGCACAAGCACTCTACCATTGAGCCACCTTCCCAACCCTTTTATTTTTGATCTATGTGTTCACAGAGGTCTCCAAGAAAATCTAAGGGACTTATATATAAACTCCTGAGCATTCCAACTAGTGCTACTCATGATGGGCAAGTCTGCAGAAGGGTAAGACAGAAGAGGTGCTGGCCATATGAAGGCAGATGGGAAAGTTAGATTAAGCCAGACAGTCAAAGCTGCCATTAAGTGGGCCAGCCTCTGGGATAAGGATTTGTATCTGCTTTATTTCACCTGCTTTGGAACAACCCTGATATGTAGGCATTGGCAACCCCGCTTAACGAGCAGATAGGACGAGTGAGTTTAATACTTTTGAGATAGGTATGTAGCCCA